AATATAGATGGTATTGTCTAAATTATAGACATATATTATAGGTAATTGATTAAATTGTTGTGATATACATAATGCAACTGAGTTTCTCATACTCTACATCCACTATTCATTCGCTTCTCCTATATTTGTCAAGCATATACGAACATCACTTGTGGACTTTTAAATAATTAATTGTACGTTGATTGTTGATATCTATATATATTGAAAGAGGTTAATGGCAAAATCAATTGTGAAAAGCTAAAAAAGTAGGTCAAAGATTTGATTTACCAATTATGGAAATGTTGTTGAATATTTATATTTTGTGATCGGCAAAAATTCAATTTTAGTCCGCTAAATTGTCCATTGTCCACTTTTGGTCCGCTAACTTGTCACTCATCAAAAATAGTCCATTATGTTACATTTTTCATCAGTTTTAGTACACTACTCTAGTTGGCGGGATTACGAGATGATGTGGACCGGGATTGGAACTACGTGGAGGGATAAGATGTTGACGTGGTAGGATAAAAAACTGATTTGGCATCTCGTAATCCCGGGCCACGGGATTAGCGTACTAAAACTGATGAAAAATGTAACATAATGGACCTTTTTTTGATGAGGGACAAGTTAGTGTACCAAAAGTGGACAATGGACAAATTAGCGGACCAAGATTGAATTTTTGCCTTTTGTGATCACTTGCTTAAAATTAAAAAAATAAATTTGAAGATTTAAAATCATTTATGGCCACATTAATTTGGACATCTATACTTATATTAAAAGCCATACTATTTATCAAAAATAGTAGCAAAAAAAGTCAACTCACATTTAATGCATACTTTATTTAAAAATTTTTTACTATATGCATTAATTGCTTGCATATATACATTTTCTATTCAAATATGATCAAAAAGATTCTTTCCTTAAATAATTTTATTAACTTCTGCAATGATTTTACTGATATATATATTATAATTCATATTTGTCGATAGTATTTTTTATTTTTTATTTGAATATATAAAAAATAAATATTTTTTAAATTAATATTTTATTTATCATTTAAGAGATAATGATCACATCATTAAATGATATTACTGATGACTACATAATAAATTAAAATACATTAATTATTCTTTAAAATTTTGGCATGTTATTTATTTGTATCTATACTTATTATATAAGGTATCCTATTTACCAAATTTAGTAGATGGAAAAGGCAACGTAATTAATGCATTGCTATTTCTATCCAGAACTTTATTTAATTATTTTATTTATTTGTCTTATATCCCATAAAATCGGTTTAAGAAAAGAAATCCCATAACATCTGACAAGTAAAAAAAAAACGTAAAATCTTTACTAAAATAAAAAGACTTTATTTATTTGTCTTATTCCATATTAACATCGATTTTGTCAAAATAAATCTCATAAAATCAGTAAAGTCAAAATTTGTACGTAAAGTCTATCTATCAAAAAAAAAAAGTCAGATTCAAAATTCCTTATCTAATTCCTTCTTTTTCTTATCTAATTCATTCTTTTCTGTATCTACTTCCTTTTTATTATCTAATTGTATGAAAATCTATTTTGATTTTGTTCAATCCTCTAATTGTATTTGTATTATATTCCATAAAATCGGTTTAACAAAAAATAAATCTCATAACATCCGATAAGTAAAAGAACAAGTACGTAAAATCTTTACTAAAATAAAAGGCTTTATTTATTATCTAATTGTATGGAAATCTGTTCTGATTTTATGGTACGTACTACAAATTGTGCACCCGTGTTCAGGAGCTACTTAACGGGCAAGCTCTGTGGAAATGACTCATTTAGTGCTTCTGTCCGGTGCATACGGTATGTATTTTTATTACACATACTAGAAAATTGTGCACCCCGTGCATCGCACAGGCTCTATACTAATAAATGACCTTAAAATTGTGTACCCCGTGCATCACCCGTGTTCACATTTTGGCCTATTACAGGTCACATACTATATATATCCCGTACATTTTTTTATTCATTTATATAATTATAAGAATGGATAAATTACCTTAAAATTGTGCACCCCGTGCATCGCACGGGCTCTGTACTAGTCCAACTAGAAATTCAGATCAATTTTTTAATGTTACAATGGAAATTGGATTTGAGTTTCAAATTTTACATGAGATCCTTTCTTCAAGTGATTCTAAGTTTGTTTAGGAATTTTAAATCATTTATGGTCTATAGATATATTTAAAAATTATTTTAATATTGATAAATAATAAAATAAAAATCGAATTATACCTACATGTTTTAATTGTGTAATAATATTAATATTTATTTTTATTCTAATCAATATTTTATTGCTTTTATAAAAACAATTTATAATTATAGCCCCGTGCATGCACAGACTATGTACTAGTATCTATAAATATTGAAAAAGGAGGGTCAAAAAATTATTTGTGGAAAGTTTTAAAAAACTGGTCAACAAAACTATTGACTTCCCATTTGTGGAAACCAATTTAAAATTCCTTTCAACTACTTGCACGCGTTTGTTAGAGATTGGTAGAGAATTTCGTTACCAAATTAATCTCACGTTTTATCTGTTTTTTATCTTCAGTATTGAATTATTCTGCGTAATTCAGCGTTAAATCTACACAAGATTAAAATTTTTATCTCTTATCTGTGTTTTATCTGTTTTTTATTTTCAGTATGAAATTATTCTGCGTAATTCACGCGTTAAATATACACGAGTTTAAAACATCTTATCTCTTATCTGTTTAAGTCTCACGAGATTAAATCTCATCCCTTATCTATACAGATTTACAAAAAAAATAAAAATAAAGCAAAACTAATTCACATTCATGTCTAATTACTACTACAAATCAATTATCTACGTTATTTTTTTTTTAAAAAAAATAATTTTCACCTGTTTAATTACTATTATTTTTACAAATTCTTTTATATGGTAACAACGTAAAAAAATAATTTGTAAATTGTGTAATCAATTTTTTTAGATGGGAGTAAGGTCATAAATCTCGATATCATCTGATATGATGTCTTTATTAAATTAGACTTATAATATTTTAGATACTAATTGTTTATACATTTTATTATCTATTTATACATATAAATAGATACACATATACACCTATACATAATTGATGTTGAATTTAAATATTTGTAGACATATTTTCATTACAAAAGATGTTAAATTTAAATGTTTTTTTTATATGTTTTCTTTCAGGTGGCTTCACATCTTTCAAAAATAATATAGAAAATTTAAATATTTTTACATATATTAATAAATATTTTAGGTGTTTCTAATATTAAACTACAAATTTTATATTCTCTTATACAAGATAATTTTATATTGTTTGACCTTGAATTTTTTATTTATAATTATTAAGTATTGTTTATCCTCCTCTTTATTTATAGTTTTTTTTTCTTCGTCTTTCTAAATAGAATCTGATAGATCACTTAGAATATTTGTAGAAAGATAAACAAGCCCGTCCAGCCGAGCTAACCCCAGCGACCTATCAATAATCAACTAGCGAAAGTTAAGGGTGAGTTCGGCCCGCCACGTTCAGAAAATCGGTCGATTTCCAAGGCAGAGCTATTGGAGAGTTGGCGCTGAGAAACCTCTAGGGGATAGCTCGGCGGAGAAACCGAGCTGCTATAGGTAGGAGCGTCGAGCTGGTGTCTATGTAGCAGGGTATGCGGGACCTATTAGAAGAGATTGAGTACGGGTGAAACTCTGACATGAGTCGATTTGCGGAGAGGGATAGGAAGAGGACTCTACATGAACCGAGGAATCCAACCAAATAGGAATGTTAGGACCTAAAGTCTCATAATGCAGGGACTCTGGGGGATATATAGGACATGTTCTTTCATCCTTTAAGATATATATATACTTTCTAATTACTCTATCGTTTTCTCCAAAAAAAAAAACCCTACTGACTTGAGCTTCGGAATGTTCACGCCGGGACCACCCCCGACGTATTTTGCAGGTACCGGCGATCGAAGAAGAAATGACTCGGTTCGAGAGGAGCGGTTGAGCGATTTACGAATTCGTGTAGTTTCCACTTCTGCCATTTAATGACTCAAACTCGAGACCTATTTATAATATTATTATTTAATATTGTTTCTCGTGCATGAGCTCGATCATGGATATCGCGAGGCTAACTGTGTGGCGGATTACTTGGCGTCGTTGGCGGCTAAGGGACCGGGTGGTTTGCATATATTGAAGCGTCCTCCTCCGGGACGTGACTATGGTTACAACATGATATCACGGGAGTGTCTTATCCCCGTCGGGTCCTGACATAGCTGTGATATAGACTCTGCCTCCTTTCTTGTACCAAAAAAAAAAAAGAGGTTGATGTATAATTGAAAAATGGAAAGTTGACATTTTATTTAAATAGTTTGCCTTACTTATAATGGAAATTTTTATACGAAATGTTAAAATTAACTTTTATGTTTTTGCTTGAAATTTCGTTTTCAAAATTGTATGATTACATATTATACGTCAATTGTCAATTGATTAAGATACACGATGTAATTAGAAAATGCCAAAGAGAGAATATTACTATTATCTTTCAAGTAAAGAAAACCCTAAACCTTAAAACAAAAGTTCCAATTAAAGAAAAGCGAGTCAAACCATAAGAATTGGTTCAAGTGGTAAACAACTTGATGTTGGTTAAGTAAAGTTTTGGGTTCGAGTCCTTGTGGATGTAGAAAATCTTTGTCGGGAGACTCATCCACCACTGTCAGGTGTGCAACCCAGTTCGACCAATGAATTAGTCGGGATACAGCTCCGGAAACCGTGACTGACTAAAAAAAACGAGTCAACCATGTTACCAATTTATTTATTTATTTTGTGTGTGTGTGTGCAACTGTAGTGTGTACAACTGGCCAACAATGTATTTTCTTAATTCAAGATGTCAATCAAATTGAATTTTGACTTTTTCTTTTCACTCTAAAAAGCCTTCGGTTATATATATCCACACAAAATTTTCAGATCCCCGAAGCAAAAATCCTCAATAAACGCTCGAAAAATGGGAAATTACATATCCTGCACTCTGCTCGGTCCCGTCGGCAAAAGCTCGGCCAGGGCTACAAAGGTCATCTTCCCCTCCGGCGAAATCAGGCGGGTGGATCAGCCGACCAAGGCCGCCGAGCTGATGCTGGAAGTCCCGAATTCCTTCATCGTCAGCGCCAAGTCGTTGCAGATCGGAAAGAGGTTCGCCGCCTTGAACGCCGACGAGGAGCTGGACATGGGGAACGCCTACGTGTTCTTCCCGATGAGCCGGCTGAACACGGCGGCGACGGCGGCGGACATGGCGGCGCTGTTCGTGACGGCGAATTCCGTCTCCAAGAGGGCCGCCCACGGAAGAGCCAGGATCTCGCCGGAGGTCGTGCAGAGTGGTGAGGGTATGTCGCCGGTGCCGAGGCTGAACTTGGACGATATTGAGGAGTACTCGACGCCGGAGTTTCAGCACAGATTGTCAATGTGCAGGTCCAAGAAGCCATTGCTGGAGACTATTATTGAAGAGCCGGGTTGTGCGAGATGAGATGATTGACGGAGCTAATTGCTCTTTATTAATTGCATAATTTTTTTTTCAAAGTTTAGGTAAAGAGAGTCTTGTAAGTAAGTTTGGTTTAATATCATATCCCCTTTGTTTTCGGATGTTACTGTGTGGGGGAGAAGAGAATATTTGTGCAGAGCATGGTTTAATGGATAACTAATCTTTGTTCTTCTTTGTTTGATGTCCGGAGAGAGCCGCTCGCTGGCCGGGGCCGAAGGTTGCTGGTGCCGATTGTAGAATCGAATGTATTGATGAATAAGGATTTGTTCCATTGACTTCGATCTTTAGAGATGTCAATTCAAAGGTATTTTTAAGCTAGAATAAGTATCATAACACAAACTATTATATGATTCAATAAAAATTATAATTATTTTTCTATTAATATGAAATATAATGGTTTTTATTTTAACTAACCCCCCCAAAAAAAA